CTGACATTACACTTCAGGTAACCCCTTTTTAAAACTATTTTCATTCTATTTTTCAAGCTTCTTGGCTTGTAGCTTAAGACAAATGAAACCCAGCAGAGCTGCAGGTGGCCCCAGTTGCAGGATGAGGTTTTTGCTCCACAAAGACATTCAGTGTGTGCTGCCCAAGCCAGCCTTGACCCTCCAGAGCTCATCCAGAGATGGGCTTGGATTGAAGCTCTGGGTGCTTTGGTGGAGCAGCCCAGGACCTTCCATCTCACTATTAAACCACTTAGAGAGTTTAGCACTTGTTATATGTGTTACCTCAGGAGCTTAAGAGGCTGGAGATCTCCAGGTGCCATCAGGAACCCCAGTCATGCCTCGTGCTGCTGTGCCATGGGGGTAAATTCAGTTCTCATGCCATTTTTTACTACTTAAAATGCAAGAAAAGGTGCATAAGTCAGAGCAGAGGTCCATCTGATCCAGGAGATTTCTCCAAAAGAGGCAAAAAGGCAAATAAAAGGGCAAAGAAAGCAGATGGGAGGCTAAAATAACCAGGGAAACTAAATGCATTTGTTCTAGCAGAGGACTTGGGTTGGTCTCTTTCTGGGTTATTTTGGTAGGGTTTTTTTTTGGTAGGGTTTGGATTTTTTTATTCCTTGTACACAAATCCCCACAGTGCTCTTCATGGGGGAATCAGAAAATCAAATGTACCCCAGGGGCATTTCAGGAATACTCCTTGTCCCTCTGCCAGGGTGCAGAAAACCCTTGGAGCTCTTTGACTTTCCTTTTTGTCCAGACCTTTACTGGGACCTTGATGGGGACTTCTTGGCCAAAGAGGAAGAGGCTCAGGTCCCTCTTCCATCTTCAATGACTGTTTGAAAAACCACAGCAAGGCTAAAGTTCCAAAGCCAAAGGTTTCCTTCAGACTTGGTGGAGCTGGAGGATGCAGGTCAAGATACTTCAGTGTCCCCTTGAAGGGAGAAGCAGCCAGCTCAGCCTTTTATTAGACAGCAGAGAATCAAAAAATGACAAATACACAATGAAGGGCAGCAAAGCACAGATTTTTTCCAGTGTTAGGAGGCCAAGGAAGCTTGAGAGCCATTGGTGGCAGCATCTCATGGTTCTGGGAGAAGCCTTGGACACACCATAGGATGCTCCATGTAGTTTTTCTTGCCCCAGGAGCAGGTCCAGCAGCTTTGGGCTTGAGAGGGATCCAGGCCATTACCTGCCTCCCCACCTGTTGCTGGTGTTTGCTTCAGCCCCATTAAAACCCCCTGAGCAACCAGCCTTCCCTTGGAGCCCGTGTTTCTGGCCTCAGAGTGCTGCTTTTTCATCCTTTCTCAGGTAAATCCATGAGGTTTGTGGGGTTTTTTTGTCTCTCTGGGTGATTTTTAGGGGCACCTGGTGAAAAGCCTGGCTGTCACCTGGTGCTGGAGGAGCAGGGGGTTGGTTTTCACTTCAGTTTCTGCTCCTGAACTCCAGGGGAAAGCTGTGGCTGGGTGGAAATCTCTCTATTCCTAATATTGCAGTGGGGGATGTATTTGGGCTGAAACTGAACATTTTTGTGGGGAGAGATGCAGGCAATCGAGTCTTTATTTCCCTGGAGGAGCTGGGAAGGGGGAAGGTGCTCAGTCAGGTCTGTCCTGTTCATTTCTTTATGTAAATGAAAAGCAAAATGAGAAATAAAACACATTAAATTTGCTAAATCATTCCAGTGTGGAAGGAGGAATAAATAGGCATTTTCTGGGGGGGAAATGAAACTCCAGGCAATCTAGAGAGGGTGACATCCCCCAGCAGCTGTGTCCCATTACAGGCAGAGCTTTACCTCCCCCTTGACCCTGGTTTAACTGGGAGAGAGGGCTCTGACTCAGGGAGGGTGTGCTGGGAATCAGGCAGAGGAGCCCACACTGTTTTCTGGGCACCCAGCAACCCCAGAGGTGGTTGTGAAATCCCTGGGTGATGTGAGAAGGGGCTTGTCTGCATATGGAGGTGGTGACTCTGGAATAGCATGTTGGGAAGGGATGGTCCTGGGCAATGGGTTGTGTGGGCACAGTTGTTCCAGGATTTGAGAGTGTTGTTTTAGTTTATATGAATCTGTTTAACCCACGTTTGCTGTTACCAGGCTAAAGCAAATCAGCCTTGTGTATTTAGTGCCCTGGGTTTGCAGGGGCCAACCCAGCACTGGGTTCCTCTGCCAGCAGCAAATCCTAGAGCAGAAGCACATCAGAATAAACCTGTGAGGGTTTCAAAGATTGGGTTCATTTTGGTTTGTTTTGAGGGTTGTTTTTTTTTCTTCAATTAATGAGTTGAGGCTTCAAAGAGGCCAGGATCCCAGTAAGAGAAGAAATCAGCCACCAAATGAGAAGGCCACGACTGTGCCCTGGGGAACCAGGTGTAACTTTAAATACAGTTTTTATTTCAGGTTTGCTCTTGATGCACAAACAGCAGAGACTGATGGTCAGTATACATGGTATACACAAAGCAGCCAGTACAATCGGCATCTCCGTCCTTTTGCTGCACACTTGGCAAAAGAACCACAACACAAGAAGTTCCTTCCCCCCCTCCCCCCAGTTCTCATCCTTC